TTTACCTTCCCCACCCCACTCCTGCAGTCTATATGCTTGCTCGGTTTAGAACCAGGCAAATTCAGAGAATTCTGTGCTACCCACACATTCATCAATTGTAAAACATACTACAAGTAAGGATTATATAACATTATATTATAATATATTACATAATATACAATGTTATACTATATAACACTGTAGATTATGGTATATAATATACAATATACAGTGGCGGAAGCAGCCAAAAAAGCTAATAAATTATTTGGTTATATAAACAGAGACATAGAATCAAAATCACCTGAAGTATTAGTACTGGTTTATAAAGCTTTAGTAAGACCACACCAGGAATACTGCATCCAGTTTTGGTCACATTACAAAAAAGATGTTGAGACTTTGGAAAAAGTGCAGAGAAGAGCAACTAAGATGATTAAAGATCTGAAGACTAAAACATATGAAGAATGGCTGCAGGATTTCGGTTTGGCTAGTCTAGAGAAAAGGACTGGGGAGGACATGATAGCAGTATTCCAGTATTTGAGGGGCTGCCACACAGAAGAGGGGGTCAACTTATTTTCCAAAGCACCAGAGGGCAGTGGGACAATGGATGGAAACTAACACGAAGAAGCAACCTGGAATTAAGGACAAACATCCTAACAGTGAGAACAAATAACCAGTGGAATAGCTTGCCTTCAGACGTTGTGGGTGCTTCATCACTGAAGGTTTTTAAAAAGAGACTGGACAGCCACTTGTCTGAAATGGTATAGGGTCTCCTGCTTGAATGGGGTGGGGGGGATGGACTAGAAAACCTCCAAAGTCCCTTTCATCTCTATGCTGATTATTTATACTTTTTAGGTTTAAACTTATTTCTCTAATATTACTGTGGATCAGGATCTCAGCTATAAAAATAAATTGTTCGTTTTAAATTTTAGTATCTAGTGCCTTGAGGCCTCTTGGTTCTAACATCTGCTATATCATGCTAGAAGATGAATAACTTTGAAGTTAAGCCAACCTATGTACAGAGACATAACAGCCTTCCATGCATACAGATTTCTAGACATTTTTCAGGCTAGAGGCAGCCACATTTCATCAGCTTTATCATAGGAAATCTAGCAGAACAGTTGGGCAGAATTACATTATGTTGCCAGCAAAAGTCAATAGCATGCATGCTGAACTGCGGCTGTCATGCCCCTGGTGGAGACTGACTCTGAGGAAGAGGAGGAACAGCCAACAGGGACTGGGAGTGTGGCTTCAGAGGTGGTGGAGGAGGCTGGGGAAGGGCAGAGGCCGGCCCTTCAGAGGAGGATCCAGGCCCATCCCCTATCCATCCTAGGTCATGCAGGGAGGAGAGGATCAGGGAAAAGCAAGGTCTACTCAGGAGGAGATCCCATGATCCTCCTCGTGACTTGCAGCTGGGAGCTATGTATATAAGTTTGTAACTGCGTAGTCAGAATTGCTGGAGTCAAAGTTTATTGTTTCCTTTGGAAGACGTTTATCTTTGTTGGTGTTCTTCCCATGGACTCTCCCCTTATCTTCCTGGAATGTATGATTAATTATCTTGGCTTGCTTCGGAACTCTCGTGAATGCGGTTTGTTTTGGTTTTCTTTTGCCTCATTATTTACTTTTGTGACTTTAAACTGTGCCTAATAAAACAGTGAAGTTGAAGGTATTACCAGAGTTTAATGTATGTTTTGGGTTTTCGGTTATTTTGAGAGACTGTGGGTCATCACCGCAGCCTTAATACTTTCTTGGGAGCAATGCTGATGGAATTAAGAAAGTGTATTTCTTATTAAGTATAAAACTTAATGCCTGTTAAAAGAGTAGCTGATTGGGGAAAGAAAACAACATCTACTCATAGGAAGAGGCACGTAGAGTTCAAGCCTCTCCTTGTTTAGAGACTGCAATTGGTTCCAGAAAAATGGTCACTAAGTGACCATCACTGGTTATACCATCTAAGTCAAATAAAGTTTTATAGTATACTGAGCCTGACCCATTTTTCTCCTTTTTGCCCCCTCACAGGGTGGAGAGCAGTGGTGGTATTCAGCTGGTTTGCACTGAATCGGGCGAACTGGTAGCAAGAATTTGGTGTGGGTCGCTGAACCGGTAGTAAGTTCTGGCTGGCCACACCCCCAAACCAGTCGCCTTCCTGCCCGATGCTCGCTTACCCCGCCCACCTGACATTCGCCTAAAGTATTTCTTTTTTTACCCACCCGAAAATCAGCTGTACAGAGATCAATTGTGCCGGGATTCCCCTTGCTGAGGCCCAGGAAGGCAAAAAATGGAGGAGCTCAGCTCCCCTCCTCCATTTTTTGCCTTCCAGAGCCCCAGAGGAGCCTTAGGGGAGCAAAACACCCCCCCCCCCAAAGGCTCCTCTGAGGCTAGGAAGCTCCCAAAACAGAGCTTGAAAGGGTGCTGTGTGCTCCTCCCATGTGCTGTTCCTTTTCTTCCTGAGCCTTAGAGGAGCTTTAGGGGAGCAAAAACACCCCCCCAGAGGCTAGGAGGCTCCCAAAAACAGGTGGGGGCTGCAAAAAAAAAAAAAGGAAGAAAAAGCCACACCCACCCAGTCACATGGCCACACCCAAGCCACACCCACAGAACTAATAGTAAAAAAATTTGAATCCCACCACTGGCAGAGAGATTGCTTATACAAGTAATCTCTTCCTATACTGTTTTCTCGGTAGCACAGAACACCCCTAAAAAGTGCAAGCTAACACGCTCATCCCTATGACTTGAATTAGTTCATTAGAATTTCCAGCTGGTTCCTGCTGCTGTCTGAAACTGACCAGACCTTAATCAGTTTCACACTATAAAGGCTTTTGTAGTCAGGCACACAAAAATTGGTCCTAAATACACACATTGGCCTGAACATGAATGTTTTAATCGTTGTATTTGTAAATGGGCACCATCCGAGGTAGTCGCTAAGCGAGGAGTGGTTGTAATTGTGCCTGGTTCCTTGAACTTTTTCTGTGCAAAGGCTTTTTGGAACAGAATAATCTGAAGTTTTCTTATTGCTTCTAATTGCATGGTTGTAAACGGCTTTTGAGTTTTTAGTTTGAAAATAGCATTAAACTTTCTTTTAAGTAACATAAAAATAAAACCCACTAGCTTGTGGGATTAGGACATCAGAACTGGAGAACTCCATCATTCTCCACAAGTCTGCACATTGACTGATCTCCTTGCTGCCTATGGATCCAGTAGCAGAAATATGGGGCTGTGTTATGCCTATGTAATAAGAGTTGCTCTGTTGCTCTTCTCAGCTTTCTGCACAAGGGACAGGTCCAGCTTTACTATTTGGTTGGTTAAATGGGGTATTTGAATATTGTTAAAAGGCCACATTGGGTGGTTGTATCTTTTTCTAACATATTTAGATTTTGAGCCTCAGAGTTTTCCTGATGAGGTTCTCTGCCTGCTTGAGTGAATCACAAATTGCTTATACAGTTCCGTTCCACAAAAGGTGACCCTGCAGAACAGTAAGTGATTGGCACTTCTGGACCTAACCCTGATGCCTAACTCTGCAGTAGAGTGAGTAATGGAGAGGTTGGGTGGAGGTTTCTTTATGTAAGTATCTGTAACCAATATGTTTCTGTTTGAAATATTTGCATGTGTCATTTGTGAATTTGTTCACTGACATAGGTGATGTGTAGGTGTGCCAGCTAGAATAGTTATGTGTATGTACAATGTTAAGTGAAGAGGGCCACAGTAGCAACTCCATAGCTATTACAATCATTTAGAATAACCTGGTATTCAAAGAATAAAAGAAGATTCTACTGTATAGTGCAATATTAATGCAATATCAGGTTTTCAATTCAATTGTTGGAATGTGAATGATATGTATTTGTTTTATTTTTATAGTTACAATGTACACAGAAGATGGCATTTAATTTCATTATATGATGTACAATGACAATAAACTAAACTAAATAATATGAAAAAACTTTGGGAAATTATACATACCACTATACAGTGGTAAAATACTGGCATTAAAATCAGTACTGATATATGTTCATATGATTTTAGAATTACAAGAATTGAGATGCTAAGATATCAATTCTACATGTTCAGATATTTTTAAAACAATAAATTTGATTCAACAGCAGACCCAATATTTCTGTTTTGTGTCTAAACTTCTCCTGCTCAAAAGATACTAATAATCTATAGACTTCATTGAAACATATTAGGTTGTTAGTTTCCATGAAATCTAAATAGCATTGATATTTTTGTCTATTGAGTATGTGTATTACATTAACTATATTTGTCAAATAAGACAAAAGAACTGTAGACTTTAACAAGAGAGAAAACACTGGCTAAGAATGAAATTTAAGTGTTTTTTCATCCTCTCAATTGATTCTCATCTGCAAATACTAACCCATGGAATTACATTGTATGAATAAAACTGGCGCATTTCCAGGGGTGTTTAATTTGGCTCTGATTCCAAAGAAGTTTATGCCTAAAATTGTCAGGATTCCGGGAGTAAAGATAATGTTGTATATCTTCCGAAAAACAATGTATACAGCCTGAACTTTGAGCCAGTTACACTGATTTTTTGAACTGAATATACTTTACAATACAGTCTTTAAATATTTTTTACATTTGCAACATAATAATTTGATGTTATATTGGCCACCAGGAGGTACTGCATGACTGGTTTCATCCTACAGCAGTGTTTCTCAATCCTATTCAGAGATCACCCTAGCAGAGGAATTCTGGGAGTTGAAGTCCATGCATATAAAAATTACCAAAGTTGAAAAACACTGTCCAACAGTATTGAGACTCACAACTGTACTTTAATGTTGTTTACTATTATGGGGAGAAATGCAATGATGAATTGTCAGGTCATTTGCTTTCTTTGAATAGCAGTAACCAAGAAATATAATAATTTGTGATTTCATTACACAAGCTGGTTGAATAGGTGTTATTTTAAGACAGAAATTACAACTCAATGTCAATTGCTAATTTCCTGTCTTAGATATCCTGATCCCCTCCCATAACAAATAAAATGATATTGCTGGACTCTTTTGAGAATGTAATTAGTTGGCAAGATTCTGGTTTGGAGCAGCAAAAAATAGCCACGTCTTTACAGTCCTCTGTCTTAGAGTCACACTCTGACTTCACACGAACAGCATGTAATAGGCTCAAATATGTTCAATGTGGCACAGGATGTGAAAATTTTAAAAAAAGAAGATAGAACAGAGTACTTTGGGTAAATCAATGTAAACTTTGTAAGTAGAAATACCCTTTAACTGTAAACCGAAGAGACTAAATTCTTAAATTACTTGGTGAGACTGTCATGTACATTATCTGGCATCTGATTCATTACAAAATGTTGTTCTACTAAAAGTCCAGGGAGATCAAGAAGAGAAGAAATAGTATAGTGAGGAACAGGAGATATTTCCTTGGGAACTATTCCAGTTTTATTTATCCAAATAGTTGCCTTTAAACCTGCATTCAACCCTCCTTGGATATCTGTGTCTAAAGAGTCTCCAATCATCACACAGTCCTCCGGCTGAACTCCAAGAAGTTCGCAACAGTGAAGGAAAATGGAGAGCGATGGTTTCTCTTCTTTTTGCTCTCCCCCGACAACAATTACATCAAAGAATTCCTGACAGGCACAAGCTTCGATCTTTTCTCTTTGTGTCTCAGTGTCCCCATTTGTGAGCAGAAGCAAAGGGACAACTTTTTTGAGGTCCCTGAGGATCTTGCATGTTTCCTCTGTCAAAGTCAAGTGTTTCAGGCGGACGGTTTTCCAAAGAAAATAACATTCTCTAGCCAGCTTCTGATTGGCTGTTCCTCCCTTTACTTCTTGTATAGCTCCTTCCCAATGTTGGATCCTTAGATTAGTAATAGATATTTTAGATGGATCAAAGCATTCTTTGCACAGCTTGGCTTGGAACTTATCACACACCATGTCAGCTTCTCTTTCAGTGTAGTTATACTCATATTGTAAAATTTTGATTACCTATGAAAACAGAGAAATCAGAACAATGTTAGATTGGCTGAAGTTTACTTCTCTAATTTGATGCCTTCCAGAATTCCAGAATACATGCATACCGGCTAGAAAGATTGGAAACTGTAATTTAATAAAGTTAAAACAGCGTTCCCAAGGCTTGATTGTTTCTCACGCATGTGGAATTCAGCTTTTAGAATTCTCAGCTAGAATTTGCTAAGGTTGGGAGGCACTGCTATAGAGTCAAAGTCACTGTTCACCATTTTCTCTTTGACAGATTGTTTAGCAATGATTTTTTTTTATTATTATAGAGTGATGAATAAATTGCAGAAAAAATAGAGGAAAATAACATTTTGTGGTTTTGTATATTTGTATGAATGGATAACAATATGTTTTTAACAATATACAATATTTATATCCAAAAGAATACTTGTACAACATGTTTGGAAAATGTCAGTAAAGCTAATAAACAATTAGAATTCTAATCGTGTTTTCTCCCATAGATCATAATCTTCACATAAATATACCCCATGTGTAGAAAACTGCATGTGGAATGGGAGAGGGGGAAGGGGAAAGAGAGGGAGGAGAGAGAGAGAGCGAGGGAGGGAGGGGAGAGAAAGAGAGAGCGCGCGCTCTGCTTTAAGGTTCTTTAAGGTGTGGGGCGTGGTGGCTCAGTGTCTAAGATGCTGAGCTTGTCGATCAGAAAGGTTGGCAGGTCAGCATTTTGAATCCCTAGCGCCAAGTAACGGAGTGAGCTCCTGTTACTTGTCCCAGCTTCTACCAACCTAGCAGTTCAAAAGCATGTAAAAATGCAAGTAGAAAAATAGGGACCACTTTGGTGGGAAAGTAACAGCGTTCTGTGCGCCTTAGCATTTCGTCATGGTAGCCACATGACCATGGAGATGTCTTCGGACAGTGCTGGCTCTTCGGCTCTCTTTTATGGAGATCAGCACCGTACCCGAGCCAGAAACGACGTACATGCGAGGGGAACCTCTACCTTTACCTAAGGGTCTTCCTCCTGGAAAGCGCTAAAGTTACATAAAAGAACCCTATGTGGAAATGTGGAAAATACGTTTGTGGGTTCTATGAAGCAGCAGGTTTAAGTTGATCTAAGCCTCTCACTTAGGTACAGTATTAACTTGGAGGCCTGTTATATATTGTAAAGAGCTTTCCCTCCCACTGTAGACACCTGAGTACAAAGAAGGTTTTTTTAATGGCTAAGCTCACTCATGGCAAGTGGCTTTCTCTAGCTGGGCTATTGAAAATGTTCAATTTTCCCTGCATGGGAAGTTCACTTGATGATGAAAAGAGCCTGATCAATGTGCAGCTTGAACTACAGCATGTCCCTTTTCCGAAAGATAGCAAAGCATGTGGAACGCTTCCTGCAGTAAATGACTATTGCCCCTTTCGTTCTGCTGATGCACCAGCATGAGGGGGGAGCTGCCATTTAAATTCAAAAGGCTTTCAAGAGCTAAAATCAACAGCAGGGTGGCCCCTTTTCCAACCTCTACTACGCTCTTCCCTTCCTTGTTTATGTGAGGATGGAAGGAAGACAGGCTTGTACAGATAATCAGAGTTGGAAGGGACCTTGTAGGTCATCTAATCCAATCCCTCCCCCCCTCCAAGCAGGAGACCCTACACCATTTCTGACACATGGCAAAATGTGCGAATGGCAAATACCTCTGCAATGGCCCTCCTGCTTGCAGCGGCGGTGTCGATCAAGGTGTTGTCCAAGTCAAAGAAAAGGGCTTTGATCCCCTGCTGCAGCCCATAGCGGCGGCTTTGCCCGGCGCCCGCCAGATCCCGATCTGTAAATTCCGAGCCTGATTGGCTCATTTGCTCGCCCACTTGGCGCAGAAACGAGAGCGCTCAACCGGATCTCCGTGTTCCGCCGTTCGTCCGCGTTAGATTTGCACATTCATTCGTGCACGCTCATTCCTGTATGTCAGGTTGTTGTTTCCCCCCGATTCTCTTCCGGCTTATTTGGGGACGCCTAGGAAAACCAATAGAGAAAACTCCAATTTAGTTTTGCCTTTGACATAATCGCATTCTGGTCCTTCCCCCCCCCCCCCCCCCCCCCCCCCCCCCCCCGCCCCACACCTATTCATTCACACATTCAGGACTTGCTCCTCTTTGAGTTCCGATTTCCTAGGAACGCGTCGATGCTTGGAGTTTTCAGTCGTTTGCTAATGCAAAGCAAAGGAGACCAAAAGAGTTTTACTTTGCCGATATGGACCTATTAATTATTTTTTTTAAAAAAAATAAGTAGGGTCCCTCCTGGTTAATGCGTGGGTGGAACGCCACCAGGATGAAGGGTTAAAATGGGCAAAACAAAAATATTGCACAAGAAAACATCAGCCAGCCACGTACTTCGGAGTTGCTGCCTAGAAAAGTAAATAAATACGTCTGCGGAATCATCGAGCTCGTCTGTGCCGCCTTTAACATTGTTTAGTTCAGACAAATCAGAGCCTTACGTCTTTTCCATTGGTTTCTACGGAGAGCTGCCACCCTATGCTGTGGTCACCGTTGTCAAATCCTCATCCCGGAACTAAAAAGACCAGCAAAAGAGATCGGCGTTGTACGCGTTGCCTTTTCTCACAAGAGCCCGGGGGAGGGGGAGGGGAGAGGAGGGCCAAAACAGACCGTGAATTCGAACGGGGTTTCTCCCCGCCCAGTTTTCCCTCTCGGTGGAGGAAAAGAGCGCGTGCGCGGCTGTGACGGACGCGGCCTCCACCTCCCTCAGGTTCGTCCTTTCGTTCTTTTGAGCTGCGGGTTGGTGGCTGTTTGGACACTTGAGTCCGAAGGGGCGGCAGCGTTATTGTATTCCTGGGCCGTAGGTGCCCGACCGTAGTTAGAGCAAGAGACGAATATATATATGTATATATATGTATATCGTGGTCTGATAATGGCTTGCTTGATATTCTGCAATGTATGTTTCCAGATGCCCCGAGGAGCCGCTTTAAATTTCAGCCTGACCAACTGCGGCCATGTTATCTGTGGGCAGTGTCTCCAGAAAGGTAACCTGCCCCAAGGGTGGCAGGACCTGGTAGCCTGCTGATAGCCAAAAATCTGCAAACAAACTAGCTCAGATAGCCATTCACAGGAGCCTGCTCTTCTTATTGGCTGGGTTCACACATTGGGTTAAGGCAGAGCTCTTCAAGCTTGGCAACTTTTAAGACTTGTGGACTTCAACTGCGCAAGTCTTAAAGTTGCCAAGTTTGGGGCCCCTGGGTTATACCATGATATATGATTGCTTGGGTTGAATCTGGTTAACTGTGGTTTATTAAACTGCTTGATTAAGTTACGCTGACTTGTCACAACAGGTGAATCAAGTCACTACATTGGTCTTGAGGGCATTTCAGGCCATAACTCGGGTGGCGATCTTCAAATTACTATTCAAACTTATTTATAGCTTTAATACAATTTTTTTTATTTTGTTAATGATATTGTTTTAATTTTTGATCGGGAGCTATCAGAGTTGGGTATAAGATGGGCAGCTACATAAATGTTTTAAACACATATTCAGATATCTAAGGTTAGGTGCATATTAATGTTGAAAAATAGCTTACCTCTAATGTTGATATTGATTCCTGGTAACTGTAGTTCAAAACCAAGGGTAGTGATTTATAAGAAAGAGTTAGCACTTAGGAGGTTCTCTTGCCCTAATTCAGATTTTCTCAACAGTGTAAGTCACCAAAGGACATGGTCCTGAAATTTTAAGATTGGGAAGGTGCCAATTTTGCCCCAATGTTTGTATAATATGAAGTTGAATCTCCTCATCCAAATCATAGACTTGTGTTTGAATAAAGAATATTGATATAAAGAGGCAAAAAAACAGGGGAACCAATTTCAGCCTAAACAAATAGAAATACATGTAATAGAAACATATGGCATCCTTAATTGCTGTTGGAACTTGTTTGTTTGCAGATGTTTCATTACCCAACTTAATAGCCTCATCAATGCAATTCACATTAATGTTACCAAGTTGGGTAATCAAAAATCTGCAAACAAACTAGCTCAGAAAGCACCGAAAACTCTACAGTTCAACCTTGAGGTACACACCTTCTAATGAGATAGTTGAAGTAGTCCTTGCATTACTGGGAGAGTTCCATTTCTAGGCAAATTCAAATATTTTGTTTAAGAAATGTTCATATAAGTATTAAAGTCTTGTCTAAACATCTGAATTGCAATTATGTTTGAAAAAACATGATGGATATGCTGCTTTTTAAAAAAAGCTAAAATAATTCCAAGTCATAATTATGAATTATGAATGACACAATACAGAATGCAATTTATTAGATTTATAATTAATTTGTTAATAAAATAATATATAGTACAGCATGTATTTGTGTTGATTTTATAGGTAAAAAAGATGAATGTATGATTTGCAGAGTTCCGTGTCGTACAATAGTCCTTTCAAAAAAGGTACAGAAAATGATACAAATACTGAATTTCATTCAGTAATTGCAAAATGATTAAGTATTGTAATGTATAAAGTATATTTTCATAGACATTACAGAAATACATACAATGTAACATGCAGTAATGATTAAGGTGTTGTACTAGAATTGGAAAACCCAAGTTCAAGACCACTTTCTATTATAGACGCTCATTGAATGATTTCGATACTGTCACTCTCCTACAGGCCAGATTACTTTCTGTGGGGTAGACAGTCAAGGAGGTAGCCTTGAAGCAAGCATCCAGAAATCTTTAAACAAAAGGCCAAAAGCATTCCTTAAATTCTGGGAAGAAGTATTAATAGAATCAGGTTGACCTCTCCCTGATCAATTGGGCTACAAGAACGAAGGGAAGAAAAATATGACCAGGCTTGCAGGTTCCTATTATAACATAGCATTGCATTGCATTACATTTATAGTTTTAATCTTCTTGATTTAGAGGAGGAATGCTATGCACATGGCTTTGTGTTCCTAGAAGAAAAACACTAAATATTGATGCCAGTGCTACAGCATTTTTAAAAAGTATATTCTTCTGTCACGGAGCCGTAGCCAAATATGTAAATATTTACACATTGGTGGAATATTTAGTATACTATGATTGCACTCAGAATGTTTCTTTTTGTGTGATGCTGCACACTAGACCTATAAATAACCTTTCAGTAGCTTCATAAATATATCTGTAAAGAAATTATTTGTATTACTGAACAGAATTCTTATTTTTTAACATTTAAATACTTGAGTTGAATATATTTATTTGTTTGGGACAGGTGGATTCAAATATCCAGTCACTCTTTATGGGATTAGATGGGTTATGCAGAAAATATTCCAAAGAAATCATACAAGTGAGTTATCTGTGAATTATTTTGAATATTTTTCATTATGAATCAGAAACTCCCAAACTTTATTGGTTCATGGTGTCCTTAATTTTTCAATAACTTTTTCCATAATACCTTGTGGTTCCTAAGCTGGGATACCACAATGAACTTGCAGAGCTTAATGCATGTCTGAAGGATGTCTGTGTTTCCCTAAAAAAATTAAAATATTCTGTGACTTTCTCTGAGTTCACTATGAATTCGCATGGTTTCGGTACCATGGTGCTACATAATAATCTTCATCACCAAACTAACTCCCAGCAAGAAATTGGATTTAGTATTGGTTTATAATAAGTTTAAGTTGCATCAAATAATTATGATGAATTACCTTTCCTGTAACACTAATAGAAGATAAAATGTAATTTTGATATGTAGTATTGAATGAGGACATATATGGAAATCTAGGCATGTTTTATCCATCCTGTGTAATGAGAAGATAAGATAAATTTATTGTCATTGTACTCAGAAACCTGAGAACAACAAAATAAGGTGCTCTTTCACAACATACAACTAAATAACACCAAAAGACATATACAAATAACAATGTAAAACAAATTAAAACAAATAACAGTTAAAAACTGTACAACCAGGATATATATATGTTAAGACCACCAGATTCATAACTCTGCATTTAACCTGATCACAGCACTTGGGTAAAAGCTATATTTAATTTAATGTTTAAGTGTAATAAAACTGAATTGTACTATTAAACATACAATATCTCACAAAATATGAAATTGTAACACAGTAAGAATTTCCTGGCTGCAGTCACCCTTAGCAGTCAGAATTCCTTCATCAAAAATTGGATAGTGCCACAGGTGAAGGTTTTCAGAAAATCAGGGAATTAGGTGATCCAAGCTGAAATACGGTTTAGCTATGTCCGGTGGTAAAGAAAATTAGTTGAACATTATCGTCCATGCTTGCAAGTAGTACTGTTGCCTTAAAAAGAAGGCTTTAAAAAAAATAAGATGAGAAATCCATTGCTAAATCAATAACATTTAGCATATTATATTGCAATAATAAAAATCAGGATTCATTATTATTCATGTTGAAATGTGTCTACATATTAAGAAGTTCCCATCAAAGGGAACAAAGGGAGGAAATATGTAGAGCCACATTCCTTCAGAAATTACTTAAGGAGCCTTGAGGGTTTTTTCTTTTTTTTTCATAGGAAATAAAACACTTACTCATACCAAACTTTTATGTCATTTCATGTTTTTAGGAATGCTTGTTATTCTGGCTAAACTCACATTTTATACTAAGCCTTAATGTGATTTTAGCTTAACTTTTAGCTTGTTCAGTATATTATGGCTTAGCATATATGAATTAAAAAATATTAATGGTTTATGCAATAACATAATAGCTTAGCATAATATGTACTTTGAATATCCATTTTATCTACAGGTAATCAGTTCATTAAGTTCACATTAGTACAGTATTATATTTGTACATGGTATGCAGTTATAAAACATTTCTGAAAGTTTGAAGAAAAAATAATCTGTAATGTTTTTGCTGCACTTCCCACATCAATATGGTGCTTGGGAATTAAATGTAGTTGTAGGTATTTAATTTCTGTTAGATTTGTATTGCTTTTGTATAAATATTATAACATTGTTTAACAGTACCAATAATTTTTCCTGTCCTTTCATAATTGTTAGATTGCCCAGTTTCAGGAAAAACACAGAAGACATCTGTTAACACATTACAGAGAAAAGGTACTTTGGATGCATGTTGAATTGAATACCGTAGTGTACTGAAGCTTAATGAAGTCACATTCCTGGTGTGATATGTATAAATAAAATGTAATGGATCAAATAATGTACTGTACTAAGTTTTTTGGTACTTCATTTAGCACTTAAAATATTTTAACTGAGTACCGATTCCTTAGTCTTGAATATTTCCATTAAACAATTGGTGACCATTAAACAACTGAGCTTTATAAATGACAAGAAATATTACAGAATTTAAATTAATGAAATAGATTGTTCCATTCAGATTAAAAAACTGGAAGCATATCTTAAAAGAGCATCACAACAAATTCAACATATACAACAATTGCAACAGTGAGTATTATAATTATTAACATTATCATTGAATTTTGAATAGTTTTAAATATATTTTGTATTTTCAAATAATCATAATCCATTAGAATAATTTACTTTCCATGAATAGTAACTTTTTGCCATGCCCCTGGTGGAGACTGACTCTGAGGAGGAACAGCCAACAGGGAGTGGAAGTGTGGCTCCGGAGGTTGTGGAGGAAGCTGG